TATTCCTACAAGCGCTCTCTGTTTGGAGAACAGTCGCACCAAAAGCAATGGGCCTGCTCACACAGCTGGCTGCTGAATCGGGCAGAGAAATGGGATTTACAAGGAAAGGCTGAAATAACTAGGATTATTTAATCTGGAGAGCACAAGAGTGAGGTGGGTTGATAACCACCCTTTGGGTATTTGAAGTCCGTTGTGGAGAGGACAGGGATATTACACTGTCTGTGCCTGCAGAGGACAGGATAAGGAGCAATGGTCTTAAATTGCAGCAAGGGAAATGTACGGGGGATTATTAGAAAGCACTCTCATTGCGGGGTGGGGTGGGGAGATGTTGTTAGCTGTGTTAGTCTGAAGTCAGGTAAGAGGCAGAGAGTACGTCTACATGAGATGCTAACTGCAGAGTAGCTTAATAACGCTGCGCAGTAGCGTGCTGCGCAGGAGCGGTGCCAATACGCGACTGTGCGGTAGCATTAGGCTACTGCGCAATAAGTGTCACTAAAAACCCGTGCGCTGGCGTTACTGCACATTTAGTACTTGGCTAACCAGGGACTAAGCTTAACGCGCGGTAACTACAGCACATTAATGAACGTGGAGAGGTGCCCAGAATGAAGCGGCAGTTGCTTACGAAAGATTATGCATCTCTGATTCAATTAGTCCAGTGGTCTCCAAACTTTTTAAGTAGGAGAGCACCTTTGGCATTTAAAAGCAACTCAAAATCTGCCGTGCACTGCCATCACCTCCCCAGCAGGTAAGTCTGTGGGGAGGGAAGTGGGGGGCAAATCAAGAAAAAATTATTTGGGGGTGCACCTCCCCAGCAGGTAAGTCCCACCTGGCCGGGGCCCCACTCAACTTACCCCTGCGCCTGCCTCTGCGGCACTGTCCCTCGTTGCAGGGGCCTCGATCCAGCCCTTGCCCCTTCCCTCCCCCAGGGACTGGCCTGCTGGGCCGGGGCACATGCATGCACGCGGGCACTCAGCTCCCCACCCCAGCCTCGGATCGACTCCAAGAGGCTCTGAGATCTCCCGGTGGATCAAGATCCACTGGTTGGTGATGCATTAGTCTATAGGGCGTAACTTTGCATTGAGGGTGGTTTAGGGGCCGCTGGGAAATGGAGTCCGGGCTTTGCCCACCCCGGTTGAGACTAACCTTTGAAGACTGAATCATTTCAGCCTCAGGATTTGTGACTGTCTGTACTTAGCCCCGAGGTCCCCTCCAGCCCTACTCTTCTGATCCTGAGAAGGGGTCCTGAAAGGCAGTGGGGGCAGCAGCAAGAGTTTGAAAAACTGAATCTATTAGCGGGAAACTGTCTAGAATTGATTGTCCAGAAATGCTATTCTGACTCCTCACATGGAGATACAATTCCAGAATACACTCGTATTTATTTAGGAGGAGACGATTCGGAAATAGATGATATCGAATTGCTATTCCAGTCAACAGGGCCTAAGACAGACTCATTCTCCAAATGCCCTTGCCTTCCAGATCTAGTGTCCTCTGTCAACCTTTCAAAATAAAACTTACATAATTTATATATCAATATATTTCATCCATATAATGCATGTAAGGAGTTGCTATTTTCTCCCTCTGATTTAAGAAATAAGTCCTGTCTGCACACAGGGTGGAAAACAAAAGCACATTTAAGATCTGTGCCAGATGCTGTTTTCCCCTCAAATATTTCTACTTTATCTAACAGACGTTATGTCAAAAACATTATGCTAATCACAGCCTGCCTTCAATGGTGAACAGCGTTTTGACACAAGGTGAAAAGAGCAGGAATAAAACTAGTAAAATCTCACTTAAAATCTGAAACGGTTTAACTTTGCTCTCCTGCATCCACTGCCACTCAGGACAGTCTCATGGACCTTACCGGGACTTGCACGTGTGCACAAGGGCTTTTCTGCTGTGTGGGGCCCACACAGATTACTACCCATCGTTTCACTCCTGGGGGGAAGGCCAAACGAATCCTGGCTACTGGTAGTAATAGGGTATGGACACACACCTACATCTGGAGCCATTTCAGAGGGGAATGTTTCCAAGGGGCAGTTGTGGTTATGTCCTAATCGGTACGCCGGGACAAGCGGGGAAGGAAATGCATCGTTCCTAGCTTGTCCGCACCAAACGACTAGAAGTACCAGATGCTGCCCTTTTGAAGCAGCTCCAGACGTGTGCGCGCCTCCACCGATAAGAGGAAGGGAAAGCTTGCGGAGGAATTGCATGGCAACCCAGTTTGAAGAGGCACCGTACAAGGAAGAACAGACAGGGAGTCCTGGATTCACATCATCCGCATTTCTTCACCAGCCCACAGCTGTACATAATCACGGCAAGTTCACTGGCACAGTCAATGCCGAGGGGCTAATTCATCAGTACCTTTTCACTCATCTGCGCTTCACGGGACTGACTATGAAGATGAGGCAAGAACTTCTGAGTGACGAATTACAAAGCTAGCTGCTCTCTGCGGCAGATGTTGCCTGCTTTGAAAAGATCGTTTGCAGCTTTAGTGAGACACAAGATGGGTTTAGGGCCATCTGCTTGGATTTCAGTCCTCCCCGAATAACAATACAGAAGTTCAGAAGAAGAAACTCCTACAGAAATGAAGCTTGGCATGAATGCTACTCCTCCCGGCATCCAAAGCAAATCTGAAGTCTCCCCGCTGGCAGTCTACCCCACTATCTACAGAACGACTCCAGCGTTTGTCTCCTGCAAGCAGAAGGAAAGTGAAGTTTGCTGCTTAGTGGGGAGAGACTAGATAATACCAACCCGGGGTCACATAAATGCACTTGTAGTTCTCCTCTTTCCAATCCTGAGACACAGCAGTTCAGACACGAGCCTCAAGATCCTCCTCCAAATGGAGACACTAGCTCCCCCGAGTACATATTTGCTTAATATGGTGAGGGACAGGGACCCTGTTTTTCTCTGATCAAAAAAAAAAAATCCCCAATTTTCAGATTTTAGAAAAACAAACAAACCCCCAAATCCACATTTTTCCATGATTAAAATGAAACACCACCAATATATAGATGTATACATTAGTGGTGTTTAAATCTATACATTATAGTTTCATGGTTAGTAGGGTCAGAAGGGACCTGAGCAGATCATCGAGTCCGACCCCCTGCCCTGGCAGGAAGAGTACTGGGGTCAAACGACCCCAGCAAAGTGTCTGTCTAGCCTCCTTTTGAAGACTAATTAGTCTTCTTTCATTTTAATCATGGAAAAAAATAAAATGTGGATTTTGGGTTACTTTTTTAAATCCCAAAATTGGGGATTTTTTTTTTTATTTTAATCAGAGAAAACCAGGATCCCTGGCGATGGAGAACAGACTAAAAGGATGGCTCCGTCTGTGCTGAGCGTGTCGGCACGCTGTTGAACACACGTTCTGTGGCATTTCCAGACTGGGTTTCTTGTCTGCTAAAATAGTATTTTCTTGCCCTCCCTGCTTTCACTTGCCCCTCCCAGAGTGCAAAAGATGTTTGCTAATTTGGGGGGGGACCCGACTGAGCATCACCATGACGGTGCTGAGCTTTCCGGTACAATAAGCTCTTCTTTCCAGTGCACGGGGAGGGCTCTGGGCGCTTGGCAGGGCCTGGACTTCTCCAGACAACAGCGTAGCGAGTGATGCTAGTCTTGGAGTCAAAGGCCACGTGAAATAAATGGCACGAGAGGTGCTGTGCTGGGGCAGCTCTCAGGAAAGTGCACGTTACGGGTCTGAGACAGAGTGTGGGTGCTTTGCTTTGTGCTATAGGAGCCTGTGGAGGTTTCCCCTGGTTCAGTCCCCACTGCGCCTGCCACCAACACAGCCGTCCTGTTCAGATCCCATTTGCCAGCAGCTCTCGCAGTGCAGGATGCCTTGCCCCGCGAGTTACTCACTGACGTGAAGAATGGGGATCACATTTTAAAAGCTGCGATGGAAGTAACCGTGAAGTGACTGCCAGCACCCTGGAGTCCCCAAAGGAGGGTTGACAACTGTCTCAACGTCCCCGGTGCCTGTACAGCCGGCAGAGCTGCTCCGCGGCAACCCCTTCCCGCAGCCTCCAGTGCAGCGAGGAGCAGCCGGGGCCTCTCTCTAGCAGATGTGCCCTTGAGGGGCCCAAGGTTGCCAGCATCAATTAGTGCAGCCTCCAGGCTCTGGAAATACCCCAGGGTGATGCCGCCTGGCCCTGGCAGCCAGGAAGCGTAACCCCTTCCCTTGCATTTCCTACCCCGAGAATCAAACCAACCTCCTGCGAATGCTCAGAGGAATTCGATACGGCACACATCTGGCTGCACCCCAGCTACGGCTCAGGGACGTGGACATGGCACCGCATTTCCACTTTGCCCTTGGAAAAATGTCAACACGTCAGCCCGTTCCCAAAGCCGGAGCGATGTGCTGTAGGGGCTGCTCTGCCAGTAATGCAATTGTCCTGCCTCGCTGACTCCGTTCTGTCTTTTCAGAGACACGGGGCATTTATCAAATTAGGACTTGCAGGAAGGAGAAGGGATCCAGCAGGCTATATTTAGCAGCAGCAACAACAAAAAAAAAAAAGCAGCAGAATCAGCTGACTGGAAGCAGTAAGCCTGATGCACGGTCTAGTGTTAGACAGCTCGTCTTCTCTCCGGGAAGCGAGGAGGGTGCAGGACTTGGGAACCGCAGAGTAGAAACACGCCCAGCTCCGAGAGGAGAGAGACGTTCAGGTAAGGAAAAGGAGGGTGCTTTAAAAGCTGGAAGTTGTGCCTTGTGCTGGAGGCTGCTAAAATGGGATGCTAAGGATGAGAGCTGCTGAAACTTCGGGCATCTCCAACACAGGAGAAAGCAGAGACCTGCAGGGAGACGAGCTGTAGCTGTTCCCAGCCCAGGTCCTGCTGTACCCGGGGCCAGCCCAACCCGGTAGATGCAAGGTCATGTGCTAGCACTCGGCCGTGCAGCTCTCTAGCCCTGCGGTGCTGATGTGATTTTGGCAGCCATTTAGCCAGATCAGGTGAAATCCTTGCAAATGCAAATGCAAGGGAGGAGGGAGGAAGACCAGGACGGAGGGGTTATTGCAAACGTGCCCTTCGATGGACAGAGCGGGCACGTGAGTAAAACAAAGTAAAGGGGCATTGGCAGGGCCTGGCACCTTCAGATCCAAACCATTTCTCCCAATGGGAAAGACTCCAATGGGAGCCACACGAGAACTTGATTTCTCACCTAAAGGCATCGAAGAATGAGGAATGAAGACAGAAAGCCTTCTCAGCGTGCTTCACAGACAAAAGTTACGTTAGCAAGGTCCAGACAGGGCTGATGTTTCTAGCTGTCTGAAATGAAACCTGTAATAGAGCCAGCAACAGAGCAGAAAGCATGAGTATGCAGCAATTTCTACTCTGTATGCTGAAGAAGGGCACAGCCCCTGCATTTCAGATGTGGCCTATGCCTTGCTGCAGAGGGTTTCTGAAGCTAGAACTGATTTCTAGTAATAAAAGGAAGAAGAAAAAGAAAGCCCACAACACATTCATGCACATAAATAGCTATTTCCACACGTATGCATTTAGAAAGCACAATGGAGCAGTGCAATTTTGACTAAGTAGTCACATAAAAATCTGGAAGTCAAAAATTGGATCTGGGCTATAAAGCATTTGCTTGCAAAAATGCTCAAAGCCAAGAGTTACCCCAGAAACAGTACTTGAGGAACTGAAACCATTTCAGGGTTGGGTGCTAGTTAATAAACAAGGTAGGCCACATTTGCATTGCCTTTGTAAGGAGTAGAATAAGAGCCCTGACTTTGCAGGAACTAAGATCACTCAGCTTGGGATGGTCCTGAATGTATTGCCCTTGAGCCAGCGTAATTACTGGTGCACAGCCGGTAGCACTGGTGCAAAGGGGTGGGTTTTTGAACCACCATTTTTTTGTCATTTCTGGGGGGAACAGACCAAGTGTAATATCACCGCCCTGTGCAATACTTCACTTAATGGAGAACCAGCTCCTATCCGTGAACAAAGAGGGACTCCATTAACTGGGCCCCAATCCTATAGTCCCCCGTACGTGCCCCCCAGGCACGACTCCCTGTCACACTGTGCAAAAAAACAGAAGCCATATCCAGTACGGAGAGCGGGATTACCTGGAAGCTTCTTCTGATGCTCTTGCTCCTATATCCCAGGCAGCGGTATTTAGGGACATACCTAAATTGTGGCGAAACAAAGGGTTTTCACAGCCTGCTTGGGGCGTGCAAAGCCAATGTCGTGGGTGTTTCGCGGCGGCCCTGCCCCTTTGGGCTGATTGGTGGAGAGCCCAGGGAGGAGGAGGGACTGCTGGGTCCCACTGGGGGGGGGCACATTTTATTTTATTTTTTGCTGATTTTTCAGATTTCATGGACCGTCCCGGATTTCACTGTTCACACAAAACTACGAATTAAGTAGGTCCCTATTATATTGAACCAGCAGGCGCATGTAGGGCTGGGCTGTCCGACTGTCAGAGGAAGAGCTGCGTGATTCTCTTTACTGAATTGTTTTATCATTTGCCACATGTGAATAATTAGCCATTTAATATATTTTGTTCATGACCCCCCTCCGATTAAAAAGATTTACCAGCTGTATTTTTAAAAGGTTCCCCTGTATGTTATTGCTTGCTTCTTCACTACAAAAAAAAAAAAAAGGAATAGGAAGAGGATCATATTCATTTTACAGTTCCTGTATCGGAGAGTTTCTCATTTGCATGTGCCAATTATGTCTTGTATATTTTTTGTAGCCATGGCGCCCCGGCTCAGGCTGAATATTACAAAGCCTCTGCCAACCATATGTGAAACCCATGAGGAAATGCAGGAGGATTTAAGCAGCAATGGAAAAAGTTTGGGAAGCTTGTCCACCAACCCAGACCTGTGCTCCAGCGAAGATTACCTTCAATCCATCTGCCAGTTAGCAAGACCCACCTTCCCCGTGATACCTGAAAACTACCCGAGGGTCCGAGACAAGACGACGCTTCAAGAAGACTGGCAGTGCCCGAAGCCTGTGGTGATGCCGAGAGCAATCCCCAAATGTAAACTCACCAACATCATCTCAAACGTCATGTCATTAGAAACAGTCCGTCTAGTTTGCGAAGAGGGAAAGCTGTACCCCTGCTCCGGCGATGATCCTCTAGAAAAGCTGTATGCACAAGCAGGAAAGACTCATCATTATAAGGGTCCTGCCTCCAGTGAAACCTTAAGTGCAGACCACTCACAAACCGGCCCTTGTAATACCAGCAGTGATGAAACCCATCTAGTCGACTCTCAAGATAAACCTACAAAGAAGCCAAATCTGCCCAGGATATTCAGTTTTCCGAGGCTTCCCTCCCCTGGGCCAGTCCAGAGAGGGGATCGCTTCCCAGAGCTGAAATCCCTGAAAAACCACGAGAGGTCAGCACCAGGAAGCGATCAGACTCAGAAAGAAAACTGCACCATGCTAATTAGCAGTAAGCGGATATGGCCACGGCCAACCAGAGAGAAATTTCCAGGAAACAAGATTCTGGGATGCTCTTTAAGGCGGCAATATAGCCTGTTCAAAACAGCAGACAGCGCTGAAAAAGCAGAGGTGGATTCTTCCAGCTACAACAAAAAAGCGACGGGAGAGGCTCTGAGTAAGCAGAGATACCTGGAACGCTTTCACGTAGCTAAAAAAGCCCTGATCCATAACTGGATCTCCGAGTGCAAATGTGCCTGGCAAGAAGCAAAGGTTACAGCCTGCCTGCTTCCGGCCATTGCAGAAGTATGAGCAAGAAGGATGCTGAGCCGTAGTCTTATTTGCAAGAAATGGTGGGCGCTGCTACTTGGAAATTCTCCCTACCGCTTGCATTCATTAAGCAGAGAAGAGGGCCACAGAATAGGTTTGCAGAGGAAGCAGACACATTTGGATCCATTGCATCTCTCACAGATGAGCACAGAGGCAGTTCAGATACTCAGACCCTTTACTTTTCAAGGGGAGAGCATAGGAAAGCAGCAAGTGACGGTGGGAGGCAGGAGTTTATAACAGCATCTTGCATCTGATCGGCGGCATGCACTGCTCATGCCTGTCCTGCACCCAGAGAACATAGCCAAAGGTGGATAACATCCTGCCTGCCTGCATCGCGCTCCACTTATTATCACAGCTTCCACCACCCGGGAACGACCTCCCTACACGATAAGGCAACAAACTCCTCCGTTTATCAGCACTGCAAACACGGTCACAAACCGCTTAATGGCAACAACTTCAATGTTCGCTACTGGATTAGTGCGCTGCTTCATGTCATAATTATCAAGTGATGTTCTGAGGCTGAATCTGTTGGCAGACAATTAGCGGAGTAATTTGCTTTCTTAAAGGGGTGTTGGTTGTAGCCGTGTTGGTCAAAGGACATAGGTAGACAAGGTTCTGGGGGTAAATCTTATTAGACCAACTCAAAGTTGAGTTGGTCTAATAAAAGATATCAGATTTGCCCTCTTAAAGAAATACAGCAGCAAACAAAAGTCTGGGGTTTTTTTGGTTTTTTTTTTTTGCTTCACTGTGAAAGGAAACTTGGGCAGTATGCAATATGCTCTCTCTGATGATGGAGTACAGATTTTGAAAAAGCCTGGTGTGTATCACAGCAACTGTGCTCTCTTTCCATTTGATGTCTTGTGGGTTAAATAGGTCTCCATGGAAATGCTCTAAAAATTAGAAGAGGCCTTTCATGAACACACTCCATTAGAGCGCGGTGTGGGAAGGGATTGGAGAACCAGGCGCTCATTGTGCGGTGCGTGTTAACATGGGCCTTGCATTGCTGTTAGAGTGCAATGAAAATGCTCTGCTCTTTCAGTGTTACTAGGGATCCACATGAAACCCGGCAGCCCACATACTCTCACTCTTTTCATAGCGTTATATTACTCCGCAGGCATGTATAAAGCTTTTCCACGCCCACGGCTGGATACAGCTGCATCACCTACAGAACACACCTGTAATGTGTAACAAGCCAAATAGGTCACAAATCAATACTGCAAATGCCATGGTACTGTAGGAGGTGCATTTCTGGGGGCTGGACACCACAGGATCCTAGCTCTGAATGCAAGTCTGCCACTTATTTAGTGTAGTGCCTTAAGCAAGTCACTTAATTTCTGTGCCTCGGTTTCCTAATCTGTACTGCACCATTAATAATACTGGCCTATATTTGCATGAAGCGCTGCAAGATCCCGGGAAGAAAGGCCTTGTGCAAGCGCATTATATCAGCAGGTTGTGCTTCTCCATACACCAGGCCCTATCCTTGAATACAAAGCAACTCAGCAGTTGTTCATGCCACATCTGCTGGGCGATGGACAAAGACAGCCTCAGTGAAGGAGGTTACAGCACGGAGGGTAAAAACAGGTGTCGGTTTATCCTGGGTCTGATTGTCCCGCGGGGACAGTCATTTATACACCCGGCTTGAAGGGCAGTTGACTCAGACTAGGCCCCAGTTGTTCTCTCAAATGCTTCACAGGTACTCGAAGTGGCACAACGGGCATGTACATCTGTAGGGTACTGGCATAAAAGTCTGTCCTGGGAGAAATAGGACGCCTGTTTTTAGCTTACGAGTGTCCACAGGGGGAGTGCGTGCAGAGGAGCTAGTGCACTGCAACATCCCACCCTCTTACTCTGTAATAACTCTCCTATGTAGACAAACCTGGAGTCAATAATCTGGATTTCTGCTAAAACAGAGCACAGGCCTCTGCCCACCACTACGTTTTCCATGGCAGAAGCAGGAAAGCATTTGAAAAGCTCCTCAGTGCTGACCAGAGATCAAGCCCCTGTCCTGCACGTGCATTTTCATTAAGGAAGTGTTAATCGACGCAAGCGTTTCACAGTGCCTTTGCTTCAAGCAATATTTTCAGGAGTCATGTAGAAGCAGTTTATTTTAACCTGTCATTAATTACAACTGCTGATTGTAGAGCAATTTAGATGTATTAGTTGCATTGTGTAGATGAGGCTCTAAATGGATGTGTTGCAGCCTAATGACTCCTATAGCAGATTGCCAGGGCACTTAATGACTTGGGAGTGGAAAACCTCCAGAACAAAATCAATTGTAGATTTGCCATTTCAGCCGTCACAGACCGTAAACGAGAGGCAGGCTAATACAAATGCACCTCTCTTTACTCAAAGACAGGCATAACCCTCCCCAACTGGCAGAGAAGTGCAGGGCAGAGCGCCAGCCAAGAGCTCTCATTGCTGGGTTATTAGGAGTGAATTGGTTGGCACCTGGGGAGCGATGGCAGCCGGCTGCTGGCTCTGCTTAGGAGGGAAACCTTTGTGCAAAGCTACGCTCGTGAAAAACGCGTAGAAACTTATTTCTGTAGAAAAACAAAACCGAAGTAGGTTGGAGGAAGGGGGCAAGGTCTGATGAGTGTCTCGGTGCAGTGTGTTAGTGGCACATCTCAGCCATATGGAAAGCCCACGATGGCCTCGGTGCCCGCTGGAGCCCTGGGAGAGAGTTTGAGGAGCAGGGAAATATTGCATTGGCTCTTGCTTTCCTGACCCGTGCAACAAGGACGAAGTACTGGAGGGCAGCCCGACTGTCCCGCTCCTTCTTTTGTGTCCTGCTCCCCTTCTGTATGTGCTAACCGTTTTCTTGAGGCACCGTATGGATGGAAAAGATACTGTGCCCTTTCTGTGTCATTCCCGTTCCCCCTCCCAGCTTTATTCTGTAATTACCCTTCAACTAAATATTTATGAGGCTGCAATGCCTAGCAAATCTGTTGTTGCTACTGCATGTATCATCAGTGCTTTGGAGAGCAGATGCAAATAAAAAACATCCAACCTAACTGTTTTCCTTGTCAGTACGGTGCCTGCTATTTTCAGTGCAAATGCTGCCAACATGGCATTTAGGATGCATGACCCTACACGCAATATGAAGGCACAGCTCCGTTTTTGCTGGTGACTCCCTTTCGTGCGTGCCCGTCTTTGAAAGGCTGAAGCAGCTCAAGCGCCCTGTTGTGCGCTGGTCGACCATGTAGAAAGTCTGCGTTCAGCTACTGGGCCCAGTTTCCTTCCTTCGGGGCAGGCTGGCTTTGGGGGCGTGGGAGGTGGAGAGCAGGGGCTGCTGTTGCTCAACAGGAATTGGCTGGTGAATGCAAGAGGCGGCATTAAGAAGCAGCCAGGTCTCTAGAGCCATAATGACAAGGGAGAAGAGGCTGCTTTTCATGGACTCAGCAGGGATCTCGAAGATGAGAACTCATCCACGGGGAAAACAAGTCAAAGAGCTGAACTAGTGAGACCCAGTCCTTGCAGCAGACTGAGCTGGACTATAAAGGACTTCACCAACTTGTAAGGGCAATTCAGGTTAGGGCCTGTGTAGACAGGAAGCTGGAAAAACGTGTGCTGGGCATCTCTCTGCCTAGAATAAGACAGCCGTGGTAACAGTGCTGCACTGTTTGCTTTCTATAAAGATGCGGCACAAAAGGAGGGCTGGGAGTCAAGAGACTTGAGGTCTATAGTGGACCTGGTCTATAATTCACCACGTGAACCTGTGACAAGAAAGCTTCCCCCGTAGGTACTAGGTCCTTTTGCAGAATGGGGGTTTTCAGAAGCCTAGTTTAGCTCGGACACAAACTCCCCCCAGGTCCCGCTGCAGGCGTCCAAGTGACTTCTAGGATCCGGCCCTTGGGCACGCCAGCGCTGAGCGCTCCCACGCTGACTCAGGCATCTTGCCAGCAACAACCACAGCCCAGAGCCTGGCGTGCACGAAGGCAAAGGGGCAAGGGGAGGCGAGGAGATGAGAGAGGGAACATTAACATGGCAGTGGAAAATGCAGGGGGCAGGTGCAAACCAGGGGGGGAAGAGTGGGAGAGGATGAGGGTGCAGAGACCATTATCTCTCTGAAGTACTGTAGTCAAAATTTTCATCTGTGGTTACTTAACTAACAAGATCAAGTTCACTGTCTATTAATAGGTGCAATAATGTTGTTCTGTAGCCAGAGCTTTTAGCATACCAATTTT